TTCAATGCAAATTTTTAATTATCTCTATACCGATGACTACACACACACACACACCATATATCACGTCCATATCTGGGCTCAGCAGCATACTCATCATTTTCTAGGCGGGACTGAGTTCAAATCGATTACGCGGTCTTGCAGGGTAAGAATTATCTTCCCCCACCCCAAGTGCAACGTCACAAGACTTTTGCTATTCTATCGAATATCAAGTGTTCAAACAACCTTTAGTCTTTAACCCTAGCAGTTTAGACATTTGCAGCTATGGAACGCAATTCAATTCCATGGATTCCAAAAACTTATTTCTTCCATATTTGAAATGAAAGGGGAAAGCTTCATTAAAACAGCATCGAACCTCGAACTTCTGGTTTGTGGAGCGCGCCTCGGCGGGCGTGTTCCCCTGAACACTGCAATCTTAACCCTTATGAAGGATATTAGAATAACCCATAACGTATACTGGCAACAAACGGCTTGCATACGGATAAAAATGAGTTCAGTAAATATGCAAAACTAGAAAGGGATATAAGACAAAGGTTGGGTCTTCTCATAGGACTTATTTTAATTATACAGTGAGGCTATTCTGAAAGAATTAGTAGTCCTGTCAGGATTAATTCTTGGTGGTGAAGATCTTAACACCATAAGATATGCAGATGACACAGTGTTGATAGCAGACACAAAAATGAACCAAGAACTCCTACAGACCAAAATGAAGGAAAAGCGAGAAGAAAGGACTAAACCCCAATTGCAAGACGATTGAATGCACGGTTGTCTGCAAAAGAGACAGCCAAACAGACTAAAATCAGACACGTACAACAATTGAAATATCTGGGAAGTATTTTAACAGGGGACGAAAAGTGCGACATAAAGAAACGGACATAAAAAAAACATGGCACAGATTAAATGAATTTGGTGTTATTTAATTACTTACTTTTTATGTAAAGCTGGATGAAAATTAAAAGATGCGAATTGGCATAGATAGATACAGAGATAGATAGATAAAGAACAGGCCGAAATAGATATGTATGAGAAGAATGAGATAGATAGATAGATAGATAGATAGATAGATAGATAGATAGATAGATATGAACAGTGTGATAGATAAATATATAGATATATATGAACGGAGTAATATATATATATATATATATATATATATATATATATATATATATATATATATATATATATATGTGTGTGTGTGTGTGTGTATATATATATATATATATATATATATATTCATGAATTATTCATACAAAAACAAATGCAAACGTTAATGATTTAATTGGCGAGAAATCCATCGTCGCAAACAAATCAAATAATATACAAAACCCCCCGAACCTGTTATGAATGAAAAGATCCTTGTTTCTATAAATTTCTGCTGCATTAGTTCTTATTTTTACTACAAGCTTTCGTCTGTTCCTACAGACATCTTCAGGTATGGAATAGGTGTTGTTCTTGTTTTTTCTCTTTTCCAGGGTGGGTTTAGGCGAAATAAGAAAAAAATTATTTAGACCGACTGAGAAGAGAACATTGTGGAGAATCATGATCGTCAACGGCCTGAAGGGACAAGGGTATCTAGAAGAATAGATTCCGTTAAATATGAATTGAGAATCGACAAGGTTTAAACCTGAGAACACGATATTAAGAAAGCTTAAAATATGTAGTTTCATATATTACAAACCGAGACATATTGTGCATCGTCTAAGGCTTGAACTCTCTTCATTAGTATATGTCTATAAGACGAGATTCAACACGAGAAGTTTATTACTGACGGTTGATATTGTTCTACAGCTAACTGAAGCCATAATGTCGTCATTTTTAGTTCCTGTTATTCTTCGATACAGAATTTGTTGTTAACACAGTGTGATAAAAGGAATAGTCCTACAGCTTATCCTGAAATACAAAAAATTAAGATAGTCTGGCCTCATGACTTGGGACATTTTTAACAAGACTTTTCGTCAGAGCAAGGAAATGACAACCTGGGCATTTAAAAAGACAGTCAACAATGTCCATCAAAGTAGATGGCAAACATCTCTCATTGGCAAGGGATTAAATGAAGTCCAATATAGAAATTTGCATTTCTAGTTGTTAAGACGAAAAAGCTGGTCACATGATGATGCGTAAACGGCGAACTAAAAGGATCTTTATACATAATATTAGAAAAAGACAATTGAAATTTCTCGGATACATAATGAGGAAAGGGGGCTTGTAAAATTTAATACACAAAGGACAGATTGAAGGCAAGAGGCACAGATGATACCAGCGCATAACCTATGTAGGGAGTTTGAGTAACTGGATGTCAGACCAAGGTGGGTTTAGGAGAAATAAGAAAAAAATTGTTAGAGCAAGGAAGTGACAACCTGGGCATTTAAAAGACAGTCAACAATGTAGACGACAAACTTCTCTCATTGGCCAGTAATTAAGTGAAGTCCAATATAGAAATTTGCATTTCTAGTTGTTAAGGCGAAAAAAGACCGGATATAACCAGCAGCTGGTCACATGATGATGCTGCCTAACTATATATATATATATATATATATATATATATATATATATATATATATATATATATATATACACATACATATATAATGTCTAAAATTATAGCAGCTTTAAAATTGTTTCCGGATAACAATGAAACCAGACGTGTCACTGTTTGATCGTGAAGAGGATCGAGAATAAAGAAATGGAAATAAAACATGGTATTGATTAGAAGAATCAATCTTTGATGTTATTTAATTAGCTACTTTTTATGTTAAGTTAGATGTAAATAAAAAGATGTGATTTGGCATATACACATAGATACATAGATAGATAGATGAACAGTGGGATAGATAAATATATAGATAAATATGAACGTAGTAATATATATATATATATATATATATATATATATATATATATATATATACAGACACACACACACACACACACATACATATATATATATATATATATATATATATATATATATATATATACAAATATTATTAACATGAAAAAAACTCATCTACCTCCACCTTTCTAATTTTGACATTATGGCCCTTTTCTCTTTAACTTTCCGAAAAGAGGTAAGGATTTGTTTTTAAATTTCCCTTAAAAATCATCTTATCACCACTTACCAACCATCGCCTGAAAAAATACATTCATGATATTGAAACATGAAAGCTTTTTAGTGTAGCGATTTGATATGTTTTTATCATAATCTCTTATAATAAAAATATAATATTTTGTTTACTTTGTATTGAGCATTTTTTTTTTAAAGTAAATGCGACGGACTGTGGATTTTACTCCATCTGTTCTTTCTGTCATTTTGATATACATATATATATATATATATATATATATATATATATATATATATATATATATATATATATACAGAGAGAGAGATAAATCGATCAGATGAGAGGTAAGCTGCCATGGTCATCTTCATTTTTGATGGTGTATCGACAAACTGTGGCATCATCTATAGAAATATTTTATAATGATCTGACCATTTTCCTAAGCACTCCTGCAGAAAGGCCTTTGATCGGGAGATTTGAGATTTATAGGAGCGTGGAAGCACCTGTTAATTACTATTCCTGGGTATGACGATAAGCTACATCCGGCAGCAAGGCCTCTGATTGGGAGATTGGAGGTTTTGAGAAGCGTGGAAGCACCTCTTGTTTTTGTTCTGTTAAATACCGTACCTATGAACAAACAAGGGTATGTTCCAATCCTCATAAATACGTTGGACAATATTGTTAGTGGTGGTAATATGCTGTCTAAGTAATCCATCACTAGCAGTGGTTTACGTACTTCACACCGCTGGCGAGTGTTGTATATTGTTGATGTTATGAAGATTACCATTTCATTTCCAACCTCCGTTTAGGCTATTCCTTATTCAGTAACCTTTTCTAGGTCACAACACGCTGGTAGCACCTGTCAGGGTCACAGCTATGGACAAATAGTTGTTAGACATTTTCATGACGGTCGTCTTCGAGTATAGAATCCAGAGGTTGGCAGTGAATATTTCGGAGACAGTAGGAAAGCGTAGTGCAGGTTCGCAGTGGATATCGCAGCAAAGTAGCAGAGCGTAGTTCTTCCGTCTGTCATGTTCGCCGGACAAGTTGCCTCTGGTCCTTCCGGTGGGAAAACAAAGATGGCCGCCTTTATACACGACGGATACAGTGTTGTGCGGCTTCTGATTGGTCAACCTTCTATTGGTCGACTCTAAAGGGAATTAAGTCATTTTGACTCGCTCACTACCGTAACAATAGTGCCCCCCCCCATAAAAGGAAAACACTGAACTGAAAGTATAGCAATACATTTTATACTAGAGTTACCAACAATACATTTCATAGCAAAATGATCAACAATATATTTTCTGTATTTGAAGGCATACAATCACGTTCAATACATTTAGGTTTCGGCATTAAATAACCCATAGAGTTATTGATATGCCGCTAAACAAAATCAACCAGCCAAACAACCAACATGAAAGAACCCTTTCATGATAATAATCCAAATAATATCCTGCAATTTCTTAAGTCAAACTGTATTACAAAAAATAACTTTTACAAAACTACAACATAAAACAAACATATCACAGCCTCGCGTAATTATGTCCATACAAACATCTATATACAGAACAGCTGAGTATCATCTACCATGTATGCAATTGTGAAAGAAGAATAACATATTTTTATTACTTCAAAGCTCCATAGAAAATTAAATTTCAGCATTAAATGACCCATAAGGAGTTGATGTGCTGTTAAACAGACAAATCTAGCCAGATCTTTAACCTAAAGTGAAAATAGGATAATATCAAGAAATCAATCTTATATAAACCCACGCAGTTATGTTATTGTCTACAGAAAACTGGTTATTAACAATGACATTAGTGAGTCTACCTTACATGCATAATTGCGAAGACTCTTCCATATATTCCATAGCTGGAGAATTTCCGTAGATACCCTCTATGCCACAGATTGCCAAAAGCCTTTGAGAATACGTAAGGCATGTCGATAATTCGCGTAACTCACTTGTACATTATTCAGTTTGACCTGTTTACTGATTCTATCTCTGTCTCACAAGACGTTAAGCCAAGGTGGGTAGCTACAAATTCTCCTATTGGAAGCTGGAAAATTTCCTTCTAGAGTAAGATAGGACTTGAAGCGATAGAAATTTAAGCAAAATTCTAACAATACCATCAATCTAATATTGTTCTTATCTATCTATCTATCTATAACGAAGAAAAATACTGAAGGTAAGGGAGACAGAGGGAAACAGCAAGTAACCTTTCTGAGGGGCTTGTATGGATTGTACAGCAGGAACTGGGAGTGATGGTAAAGTGAAAAACGTTGTTTAAGGATAGGTAGATGGGGAGAGCCATTATCTCGAAATACGGCACATAACAGAATATAGACATTTCAGACTTTGTTACCCATGTGCAAGTTCAATGAAATCAAAGCAAGCACGTAATCTGGTAGCGTATTTTCTGTTTACTTGTGATTACGCTGATATGAAATATATATATATATATATATATATATATATATATATATGTGTGTGTGTGTGTGTGAAATATATATATATATATATATATATATATATATATATATATTTATATATATATATATATGCAATTTATTATATATATTATTTATATATTATAGATGCGCGATACTTATTGGAAAGCGCTCAATTTTAGTGATAGAGCTAACATATTTAGTTGGATTGATGTGAGTTTGTGACCCTGGGTTTCACGATGATGATTTCCAAAGGGTCACAAATTCACATCAGTCCAACTATATATATATATATATATATATATATATATATATATAGATGTATACGGGAATAAATTCTAATAACCAACAAATACTATTCTTAAAAGAGTGCTCAATACAAAGTAGGGCAAATAATATATATATATATATATATATATATATATATATATATATATATATATATATATATATATATATATATATAAATGAGTTTCTAGCTAATCACGGTGATCAAGAAGGACCATTCTGACAGAGAGCCAGGTCTGAGTAAGCAACAAAAGTGATCTTCAGATTTTGCGTAAATCTTACCGGTTTTCTTGGAGTCTAAGAGAAAGACGAAATGCGTTCATTGTTTGATAGAAAAATAAAAAAAAACATTTTCATTCTCATTCTCTTTCTAGCTTTAGTTCAAAATAAATGCGAGAGCCCAAGTAAAACTAAATATCTCCAAGTTGTATTTCGACGGTCGTAACATGAATGCCAGGAACACCCGGCTTTTGAAAAGAAAATGAAGTATTATATTCCAAGTGACATTGCTTAGATATCACAGTTTCCATTACCGTTGTGTCTATAGAATCAGGCCAGCTAATATGTTTATTATGAACGCGTTTCTTGTTTTGATCTAATTTCTTTTCAATATCTAGATCAATAAGGACGTTTTCCGCTCGTAACTATTTCGTTTCTTCATGACGCAGAGACGGGAAAATGAAATAATAATTGATCAATCGATATTTCCCGTATGAAGTGACCAGCGTGAATTCATTCGATTACCTCTTCGTCACCCATCAGATTGACACCCAGAAGTAGTCTTCGTATTCGTAACATCTTGGATTTTCAAAAACAGGATTTCTACTAGGATTCTTTCGGAAGAGCATTTTAATAGCATTTTATTTCTACTACGAGATTACGGCTGACCTACTCTGTATCATTCCGTTGTGATAAAAAACTAAAGAAAGAAACGGATGAAGTTCACTAGAAAGAATTTCTTGTATAAGAAGTTTAAGTAATTCTGGTAAAAATGCCCTGATTCATTCTGAAGAGCATCTTAATCGAATTCTATTTTTACTTCGTCATTTATGTTGACTTAAACGACATCTTTCCGAGATGATGTGATAGAAACAATAAAAATCAGGATGATACTGAGAAACTTATACAACTATTTTTTCATTCCGATTAGCATCCTGTATGTTATCCATCAAGCTAGCTACACAATTTTTCATATCTATCTATTTATCTATATATGTATTTATCTATTTATCTCAATTTCTTCATATCTATCTATCTATCTATCTATCTATCTATTGCTCTATGGCAATCTGATCCCATCTATCTATCTATCTATCTATGGCAATCTGATCCCATCTATCTATCTATCTATCTATCTATCTATCTATCTATCTATCTATCTATCTATATTCCTCTATGGCAATCTGATCCCATCTATCTATCTATCTATCTATCTATCTATCTATCTATCTATCTATGGCAATCTGATCCCATCTATCTATCTATCTATCTATTGCTCTATGGCAATCTGATCCCATCTATCTATCAATCGATCGATCTATCTATTGTTCTATGGCAATCTATCTATCTATCTATCTATCTATCTATCTATCTATCTATTCCTCTATGGCAATCTGATCCCATCTATCTATCTATCTATCTATCTATCTATCTATCTATCTATCTATCTATCTATCTATTGCTCTATGGCAATCTGATCCCATCTATCTATCTATCTATCTATCTATCTATCTATCTATCTATCTATCTATCTATCTATTGCAATCTGATCCCATCTATCTATCTATCTATCTATCTATCTATCTATCTATCTATCTATTCCTCTATGGCAGTCTGATCCCATCTCTCTATGATCACAATGATCTATCTATCTAGCTAGCTAGCTATCGTAAAAAGGAGACAATAATTACATGAAAAACTTCGTTTATTTGTTTTGTTTTACGTCATATCAACCCCAATGAGTTATTAATACCGACAAGATTTTTATTGTTGGTAACATTTTTGGTCAAAAACATATTGCTGGTGGCAATATATTTTTGTTTAAAAATATATTGCTACTAAAAATGTATTGCTGTTAATATACTTTTCTTCAAAAATATATTGCTGCTAAAAATGTATTGCTGGTAATATATTTTTCTTCAAAAATATTTTGCTGGTAATATTTCTTTTCAAAAATGTATTGATGTTAACAATTGTGTTGCTGTTATTAAAACCTATTTTTACATTTTCATAGCGTCTTGACCCCAGTTTGGATGGTTAATTATTTTCCCATAGATGGGACCTTGACAGGTACTACCAGCCCGGGTCAGATTGGACATGGAAACATCACAAATTAAGAGGTGGTTCCACGCTCCTCAAAGCCTCCTGATCAGGGGCTCTGCTTTCGGATGTAGTTTATCGTCTTACCCAGGTCACTTCATAGGGACGGGGTCTTATCCCTCTGCAGAGGTACAGACGACGTATTCTGAAATCCCAGTGGTCAGAAAGGCATGAAGAACTCCAATTAAATGAAGCAATGTATATGGCACAAAGACATTGCGACAAAAACAATAAAAAGCTTAATGTCTATTCTCAGTGGATTGCGAACAATACTGAACCAGTTGTTCCTCGCGTACGGACAAACCTCTCATCAACGGACTAATAGGAGGAGGGGGGGTCATTTAAAGCCCAGTGTCCGTAGATGGGAAGGGATTATTTTTTAGTTATAAAACCGCCATAGTATCTACCACTAGTTATGATCATAATGTAAATACTATAAACATGTATATATGGCATAAATAAATATATACTTAATATAGATATATTAATCAAAATAACAAAAGATAATAGATTTCTCACAGCTACTTTCTCACGCACGCGATAATGTATCGTACTTTATATACTGTACACCAGTCTTTGTTTACAATTGAAATGCCCGCCACCACCGCCAAGCGGTCATTTTGAGAACTAATACGACTCGTTATTTTGAAATATATCGCTGACGATTCGGAAGTATTATTTTCCAGCAGATATTTTTTTTTTATTTTTATGTTGCCTGCAGATTTTGTCCGTTGCATCCGAAGTCCACTGATGGGGGGGGGGTCCGTAGATGAGAGGTTCGTCTGTATATATCATTTGCTATTCACCTCCAAAGATGATTGGGAAAATAGTTGAATATTTGGAAGCTGAATTAGAAAAAGCTGCAATCTATTCTGTCGATAAAATCGTTCCCTCCGTTGTAGGATCGTGTGCCTCTAATCTCAGAAACTCTGCTACCCTTGATCCAACAAGAAAACTAAGATCTTCCTTTTCAAGAAGTTTAAATGCCAACGAATTTCTCTAAATAAATCAACAAATATAGTAGAAACAGGATTCGCGTTTTGATTTCTCACTGGAGTGTTAATTTCATCTTCTGTTTCCCGCTTTCTTTTAACCATTTCACCCCAAGCAAGTCAATACAGCTACTAAAAGGCAACGGGTTACTGAGAGTGAAAGAATATGAAAAAAAATATTAAGGACTCAGAACAATAAAACAACAGGATTTTAGAAAATATATGTTGATATTGCATTTACATTTTTGAAAATAAAAAATGACTGGAAAGTAAGACGGCGGAAAAGAATTCATACGGTTAAATCTAGCTATTTCAGCTGTAAGATGATGAGACCTAGCTGCCAATCTAGTACTGCGCTTAAATTTGTAAAGTCGATGTATCAAAGAAGAATACTCACCAACATAATTGCCCTAAAAATATTTGTAGAAAAGATATATGAACGCTACGTTACGGTAGTAGGAAAGTGACTGAAGCCGAGATGACAGGTCAGGGCAGATAATATTGCAGATTCTGCTTTGGATTTTATCAAGAATCTCTAAATACATAGCAGAATCACCAGACAAGATTTGTCAGTAATATTCGATGCATGGAAGCATGGTAGACTTATAAATGTGTAATAACTTGTGACAGGATTTTTTCCTTAAATTTGTATCCACCGCTGCAAGGAGAATCAAAATACAGCGTGGGGTGACAGAGGGGTCTTGAGGTATGTTTGAAGAAACATTCATGTTTTGTCACATAAAGAACAAGCGGAATTAGAGCGGAGTTCTAAGTGGATAATAATCACGGAAACCACGTAAAGTGCGGTGTTTAAATTTCGCAGTGTTTGTGGTATACGTGTCTTCACTTAGCGCCGGTGTCGTCCGGTTCACACTCATCCCCTGTCTTTTAAACAGAAGTAGAGATTTATCCCTTGTTTCCTGTTTAGGATTAGGTTTCCATTTCTTTCTAAAGTCTACTTCATCTCTATACTTCTATCGCCTCTGCGGGAACTCTGAAATTTTGTATTTATTTTTCACTTAATAGGAGTAGATAGGTTCGCTTGTCGCTCGGTTCACACTCCTCCACAGTTTTTGGACAGGAGTGGAGGTTCATCCATTGTTTCTCGTTTAGGGTTGGGGTTCCGGTTTGTTCTCATTCTCTTTTACTTGCAATAACCCTTTGCGTCTAAGTGGCATTATATTTCTTAAGATGTATCAACTAGTTATCATCTCTTTAACGCCATATTAAATTAAATCCTGTATTTTTAAGGACCGCTCAATAAGCTAACTTAGTTTTTAATGGCTGCACTTTCTTTTCTTTTTTTTTTCAGGATAAAACTATGTTTGAAAAGATCATACGCCTATTTTCCTGTTCTTGAGGACGAGATTGTAGTCATGTGAGGGCGTATTTAGCGTCTCTAATTGATGGCAGTTATTTGTTTGGAATTCTTCGCGTTACCTGTGCTCTAGGTAAAGGGTTAGGCGGACTGATGACAAAGCCCTGTTTTTCCTGGTGCTACGAATTTTATCTCTCGACAAAACTCAAATATATCGCTTCGAACTCGATTCGCTTAAAAGTGAGATTTTCTACTCAGTTAGGGTCTAATACAAGCACAGATAATGCATCGAAAACAAACACAATATATAAAGTTATTTAAATATAACAAAGATATAGAATTGGAGATGACGTAACGATAAACAAAGAATAGGAAAAAGGAAAGAAAATATAAAACATTGTCATAAGTTGTTTTACTTATCTGTCGAATAATCTCATCGATGATTTTTGATATTCATTATTTCTTTTTCTTTTCTTTTTATAAATAACAAGCGTTTTTACACTTACGAACAAAATTTGAATTTGATGTTAATTTCGTTTACTGATGGATGATGAAAGCATTTAAGTAGCATGAATTTAGATGAAAATAAAATGATAGCGAGTCGGTGCCTTTTGCTACACGTAAATGCCATGAAAAGACATAACAGTCCCCCGGTGTCCTCTCGAATGAAAAAAGGCAATCAAATCTGAAAAATTGGACAATTGTGGGGTACCGATTCTGTCCACTTGGCTTAAAAGTGGTGGCGTGAACTGGCATGGAATGTGTTAGTCATTGCTCACTGAATTCAATCCTATGCTTTAGTAGGCTAAATGGACTAAAAACACCTAAAAAGCTGCAATTTCACTATGTTTTCACTGATATTTCTGGTAAAATTTGAAATGTAGCTCTGGAAATCCCTTTTAAAATGGCTTTTACGTTTACTTTACTGTGCAAATGCAGAAGACATGGAAAGTAATGCATGCCTGCACTAAAACATTAAAAGATGCTTTTTAAAAACCATGGTATGAGCGTTAAATCCTGAAATAAAAGTAGGCTACTTGAAACCTCTTCCCCATTTGGGATGCGCGCACGCGTGACATACCCCACCCCCGTTCACACATGATCTCACATGACCCCGGAGCATGAATGAGCCAATCAACAGCAAGCATTACGTGTAACTAATAACGATTGGCTTTTGGAGCGAAAAGTTCGGCTGCGACAGAAATCCTTTTGCATCCGAAACCAAAATATGGCCATTCTTGTCCTTTCTTATTCCCATATAAGCATTTAAATCCGACTTTTTTTCTAATTATGCTACCGCTATTAATTCTGATATGAAACATGCCCATATCTGCTTGTGTGCAGTGAATGCAGATGATTACACAGTGTGTCCGATCAAAAATGAAAAATAAAAAATCGATAATATTAAGTTAAATATTGACTTAAATCAATTTTTGGACGCCGTCAAAACCTCCGCAGAACCCTTAGCAGTAACTGTGTCAAATTTGGTTGAAATCGGTTGAACAATGTAGGAAATCCGTTCAAACATATAAACGAACACACACACATTCTGCCTTTTATATATGTATAGATTAAAAGTAGACAAACCTTGTTTTGTCTTGATTGAGTTGTTTATCTTAATATGTAGATATTTTTCGTTCGATCAGTGTTGTATATTTGATTATCACCCTGAAATCCCTTTGTTTTGTTTTTCATTCAAGGAGGATACAGTTCATCTTGACTTTTGAGTACCTGATGGTCCCGAAAGCTTCTAACTTTTCGACTCTGAAACATCGGAAGACAATTTTACGTGAGAATCATCCCACTGAGAAAGAAATAAGCATTTGCACGTCTTCTCGGTGTAATGACTACGAATTTTCTGACGAGTTAGTAAAGTGACGCACCTAACGTTGAAAGCTACGTGTGAAATGAAATCCAACTGTTGAATGCTACATATGAAATCAAATCGAGCCGTTGAACCAATTCAAAAATGGTCAAGGCCGTTTGGTTATAACTGAATTCTGCGATCCTCTGATGTTGTTTGAGTTTTTATCCAATTTTGACGCAATAGAAATAAAGAAGGAAAGATAAATTATTAAATTCTCGGGTGGGAATTTATATTTAATACCACTATCTCAAATGATTGATTTAATTCAGTTTAACAATTTTTAATATGAATAAAGAGGGTCATGACACACTGGGTTTATACTGAGGTCGATAAGTGTTCGAGGAGTACGGTGTGTAGGATTGTCCTTCGTTTTGGTACAGGATCCTTGATCTTTTGCTTTGTTTATCCAAGTATTTGGTTTCAGAAATGGGGTTGGTTGATTAATCTGTCCTTAAGAATACCGGTTTTTATATGAATGAGGTTTTAAAGATGGTAGTTTTCTGGAGAATTAAGAAATATTTTAATTTTTCTTTATTAAACTTTGCCTACTACTCCAGAGCTATCAAAATCCCCTCCAACAAAAACTTGTACTTAATTAGTAGCTAATTAGTCCCATTAGCGGTTACTGGGATTTTTTTCAGGAATTTCCTCTTGAGACACTTCTGCCAAACAATTCAAAAATCCCCACATGCTTCAGCACTCACCATAATTAGAATTTCTAACGCTCGTCATAACGAGAATCAATGACGCCCAACAAAAAGAGCCTTCAGACTTCTGACTCGAATCTTCTGCTAAAAAGTTTCATTGAAAACTCCGAAAGCATCCTTCTTTTTTGTCTTGTTCCTGTTTAGTCATCGTATCATCAATTTTCGGATCTATTATTGTGATTGGAACGCAGCAATTTTTTTTTAATAAAAAAAAAAAGAGTAAAAATATTTCTCTTGTTGGCTAAACCCAAAACGAGTCAAACTTGTCAGAAGGTCTTTGTAAAACAGAACTTCGGAGTCACTCAGTCTGGATAGAACAAGTCCTTTACCCTGAAGATTGACGGCAGAATAAACGTTTAACAAAAGAATTGTAGTGATTTTTCCTGCACACTACCTTGAGGTATATATATATATTTTTTTTTCTTTCCAATTTTTTTTTTATTCTCGTAAACGATGTTTCGTTTCACTTTTCTTATCAGTTTTTCTTCCATTCTTATTTCTTATCTAGCCTTTACCTTCCTCGTTTTAGTTTTTTTTCTTTTTTTACCCCCTCCCCCACCTTCTTTAGAATCCGCACATTTCTTTTCCATTTTTTTTTTAATTGCCTCTCGATTTAATTTCTTCCTTTTATTCGTTCTTCCTTTTGTTTTTCGAAAGATGAAAAAGATAAAAGGGAAAGGTGACGAAAAATGAAAACCGAAAAGGGAAAAGGAAGAAAAATGAAAAAACAATAGAATAAAAAAAAAAGTAGGAAAGGGAAAAGATTCAAAAGAAAATAAAAACAAAAAGGATTGAAAAAAAGAAAAGAAAAAGATTAAAAATGAAAAGATCGAGAAAAAAGAAACAAACGGAGAAAAAAGAAAGAAAGAAAAAATGTAAATTCTTTCTTTCTTCTTTTTTTCTTTCTTTCTTTATTGCTTTCTTCTTTGTTTTTTCTTACTTTTTCTTTATTTCTTCTTTCTTTTTTCATTCTTTTTCTTTTTTCTTTCATTCTTTCTTTCTCCCATTCTTCCTTTCTTTCTTTCTTTCTTTCTTTTTCTTTCTTTTTCTTTCTTTCTATCTTTCTTTCTTTCTTGATTCCTTTTTCTTTATTTCTTTCTTTCTTTTTTTTCTTTTTCTCTCTTTCTTATTTCTTTCTTTCTTTCTTTTACATCCATCAATTTTTATTCTCTTTTTCTCTTTTTTCCTTTTTCTCATTCTCCTCCGTTGTATCACTCTCTTTAACCATTATTTCTTTTCCATTTTCATTCGATTATTTCGACTAAATCTTCCTCAGAATTATAATTTGCGAAAAACATTACATCTTTATGTATACAATACAACCTTATTTTAACAACAGTTTTCTATATCGTGTGTTCTCTTCTCACCAGTACTCTATTAATCTGATCTTGTGCCAGACTATGCTTTGATTTTCCTAATATAATGTTCAATGTCTACGAGGTTTGCGCAATTAACACTGGGAGCAAATGTCAATATTCAAACACAAGTAAAATAAATAAAAAAATTCAAATGCAGAATTACAAGGCAATACAAATAGATACATACAGCTATCTAGCTATGTGTAAACGTTCAGATATAAATTATTTGTAATCCATTGACTTGACCCGAAGGATTGTGAGATCAATATCTGGCTAGAGTAGGGGTGAAGAAAAGCATGGAGTTAAAAGGGAGATAACTGATATTGATATATACAGAAGAGGCATGGTACGTGGAACTAGAACAATCTACCCGGTGGACGAAATAAAGGGTTTAGGTTGAAATTACAATCACAGGAAGAAGGCCGGAGCATAAAATGGTCAAAACGCCGTGAATATGAAAACAGAAATGACACCAACAGTTCGAACAATTATAAATAGTGTAAATAATTACAATATCTCATCTCAGAAATATAGATAGATAATATGGCATCGTTTTATATATATATATATATATATATATATATATATATATATATATATATATATATATATATACAAACACATATATATGTGTATACACATATATATACACACATATATATGTGTATATATATATATATATATATATATATTAAAAGATGAAAGAAATGTAAGAAATATCTTTTATTCCTATCTAAACTTTCGGCTTCATTTTAATATATACATAGGCATATATATATATATATATATATATATATATATATATATATATATATATATATATATATATTTTAATACATATATTTTTATATATATATATATATATATTAATATATATATATATATATATCCACACACACACATATATATATATATATATATGCATATATATATATATTAAAATGAAGCCGAAAGCTTAGATAGGATTAAAAAAACATGTATCAATATGGTGATTTTCTTTCATCTTTTTAATGATAATGTTGTCAAGCTTATCAAACTTGTCTATATTATTTAATGAAACATGCATCAATATATATATATATATATATATATATATATATATATATATATATATATATATATATATATATATATATACATGCGTGCGTGAGAAGCAAAGGGAAATAACTCCCCAAAGCGTTCCTGAAATAAGTAACCAGATACACTAGGGGCGTGTCTGTGATTTCAGCCAATCGATTTATCGAATTTATTCACCGCGATGACAACAGGTTAATGTACTTAAAAATAGAATGGCTCCAGTGATTTTTATCTTCCTGGGCAATCATTATTTCAAAGTTAAAGTAGGTCTCCGGGGCATGGACGTATTCTACTTTGTTTTGTTTTTTCCTGTTCTTTTTCGTCCTTTCTTGTATTTTTAGTTCTTTTGTACAACGATTTTATAAATATTCTTCCGTCATTTTTGATTTGCTTCTTATATTGACAATTCTTTTTTCTTTGTGTAATCACTCAATCTCTCATATGAGAAAATTCTTTATTTCTATTTTCTTTTTTCCCCTTTTTTTCTCTTTATACATTTCCCCATGAATATAAAGTTTATAATTCGGAAATTCATTCATCGATTCATTCTTCAATTTCATTTTTTGTTTTTTTGTTTTGTTTTTTGTTTTTTTTTTGTCAGAGGTACAGAATTTTATGCATAACATCTATGAGTTTGAAAAGTCATTAATATTCCAAAAGTTTTTCAGAATATTAAATCCATTGTTTTTGCTCATTTAGTTGTTAATACAATCATATTAAATAGTACAATTCACAAAAAAAATTTATTCTTAAAAGAGTTCTAATAATTTGAAGAGAAATTCAGATTATTAAACCCCTTTTTTATGTTGTGCAAATATTTAATCGGGCCATACTACAGTGTATGTAATGTGCCAAATTCTTTAAAAGGAGTGATTGCTTTGTTTAAAATACCTGTTCTTAAGATCATACAAAAAGGTAATGGCAATCATGTTTTAGAAGAAAAGGTTGGAAAACAAGAAAAGATACTGTGGCGATATACCGACCGGTTTAGCTCATTTCCAACAAAGTGAGGTACACAGGTTTAACTCATTTGGGATATTAATTTTGAAGTTTATTTCTTTAATTAACTGCCCTTCATTACTGTTCTTTTATTCGAGGATTGTTTTGATTTTCATATCAAAAATAGTTCTGTTTGCCAATATTGTCTCATATAGTGCAGAAAAGTGTTGGAAATTTGAATTTCACTTGGCCTTCAATAAGTTGACATCTATAAGTTTTAAAACTTTCCTTAATTATAACAAGTCTGCCCCCACATCCGATCAATTAATTTCTTCTGTCTTTACAGTCGTATTCTTTGAACAAATATATTGAATGTCCAAAACCGCTTCAACATTTCGTGAATCGTGAACATTAATTCCATAGAAAAACAACTAATTTTTCATAGAAAAATTACCATGTAATGTTTATCATTCATACAAATATACATGTATTTTATTTCTGTCAACACCTGTTAAATTCTAATATTTAGGTATCTGCATAAATACAAATGTTTTCTTTCATGTTTACAACCATATATCTTATTTTGCAATGCGATAGCGAGCGGGCGAAGCCTGCTAATTACTTTATAATCAACAATTTATATTCGTTTTGTTGTGAAAATGGAGATTTCACTGGCTTATAACTTTCAAAACGGAACTGCCAATGACATAAATATACTGTATAAAGACTCAAAAACCATGTTAAGATCCCCAGACAGTGACACCAAATAATTTGACATGGTTGCTGAATTCCTGGTAGAAGATACTTGCGTTTGGTTTGCTCATCAGATGTCTCGATTATGTATATCGAATTTCTGTGGACAAAGTAAAATAAAATAGACTCACTATCCAATAGAAACCATCGCAGTGGCAGATTATACCGACGCCGTTACACTCTTTAGAGACAGATTCGCACAGGCTGAATCAATGGAGAAAACAGGCGGTGGAATCGGTCTTTGTGTAAAAGTAGACAAAATAGATCTTATTGACAACAAGGTCCCATCAATTCCCTGTCCGGTACGGCATTACAAATGATTGATCTTAGAAGTAACATTTCTCTCACTATAAGTGATGGACATTCCCACTGGCAATACTTGGTCAATAGACAAACTGTCAGTAGTCTCAAAATACAATTGGCAAGATAAAATAAAACGCGAATTTTATTTATTTATTTATTTATTTACAGTTAGTTCACTAAATACATGACACAAGAGCCACTCAAGTTAGAAAACAACTGTTGAAAGAGGGGAGTAGGAATTAAGAAATGTTATAGTATGGGGATGTGTAGGATAGATATCACTGTATCCCGGACTTAAAGAGGCCAAGGTTGCAGTTATCAGAGAAGCATCCTCTCAGGAGTCTGCTCCAGCAAAATTAGTTCTAGGCAAAAATAGCTCCTGATGAAAATAACACGAGAGGAAATTCGGTGATTTGTCACCATGAACAGGGCATGGCGGCTTCTAGCTGTGAATGTTGAACTAAACAATAATGTAACTAATTCGAAAAACTGCCATAATAATAACGATAGCCTAGTGAGAGGATGTTATGGTAATTTACCCACGCAGAAATGGACTCTCCAGGCTATAAATAGGAGCAGGTACTGCCTTTTGGAGAGGGGACATTCTTGCTGTAACACTCTCGTTTGTATATGTTTGTATTACTGTTTCTGTTAATATATTTGTTTAACTCAATTCCTCTCTTTGTGTCTTTATTTCTGGACCTAGACAGTGGAGAACTACATTTCATCTTTGAGGTAAGGGTAGCAGGTTGGAGAATAACTCATCACCCACAAGGTCGCGAAAGCCCTTTTGAACTTTGTCAATACTGGGCAGTGAAGATTGGGAAGCACTTGCCCATATATGGCAGAAATACCCCATTCTTGGTCTTCTTCAGATCAAAATACCTATTTTCTGGATAGATTCAAGGAATGATAATTCTCCCAGCATCTTTAGCGATGACATATATATACACGTTCCATTAGAGAAGAGCGAGTTTTACCCCCAGTAGGCGTTCGATGCAAGCAACCTCTTTCAGGGTATGATCACTCATCAAGATTGGTACAGGTTTAGGGTCTGCTTGGTGCTGAGGAAATGTTACGAGTTTAATTTTGGATGTAGTGAATGATACCAGCCAATTTTTCTCCATTGAACCGTGAGAGATACGTCACAGAAAAGATCGACTGCCAGGCACAGATCAAGATATTTTGAGTTAAAGACATACATTGTGGTATCATCTACATATAAATTTACTAGGGATCTGAGGGTGTTTTCGATCAGATCGTTAATTAAAAAAGGGTAATGCCAAGAGAAGTCATTCCCAGAGATTCCATAACTAACTAGAGTATGCAGCAATCACCTGTACCACACATTGTCAAAGGCCTTCGTGTTATCTACAGCGAACAATCTATTATCAACCACTTCACTTATTTTATGCACGCTAATATCTAGGACATCAGCAATGAACCTAGAGGAGCGAAACTCATACTGTTTGTCGCTAATTAGTTTCTATTTATTTGATTTTTCAACAATCTTCTCAAGGACTTTACTAATCAAAACTATAAGGTTGATTGAGCGATATTTTGGCGGGGTTGTACACTAGATACCTTCGATGTTGTTGGGAAATAACTCTTCTTAAGGCAACAATTAAACAGCTTCGTCTAGATTGGAGACAGATCTGGTTCAAGGTTCTTGCTAAGAAGAATAGGGATTTATCCAGCCCAGTAGCCTTCATAAGAGTCAAAGCTTTTGATAAATCTGGAAACATCCCAAGCCGACATATAGATATCACAAAGCTTGTGCACCCTTGAGGTGTGGTAGTCGGATAAAGGGTGGTCTTTTTTTTCATCTAACCTAG